AGGGTGAGGAGGTTGGCAGGGCTGCGGATGACCTGGCCCCGCTGCAGGAAGGACTCGTTGGCCAGGAGGGTGGGCTCCAGCCCCCCTGTGCTCTCCACTGTCAGCGTCTCACCCTCTGCCAGGCTGATGTTCTGCACCTGCAGGGGACGGCCAAGTGTCACCGCCTCGGCATCACCTCGGAGCTGGACCCCGGGCAGCTCAGCCGGGGTCGGGGGTGCCTTTCCAACACGTTGAGCAGCTCCATAGATCGTCCTGCCGTGCCAAGAGCCATTGGCCAGCGGCTCTGCCCGAGCAGCGCTGCACAGCCAAACCCACACTGAGCTCTCTGGAGCAATTTGCTATTAATGATGTTAATTAAGCGATGCTGTGCGGTGATGAGCGGCAGTGCTGGTGAGGAGGAGGAGGAGCTAGGGCTGACCATGAAGCTGCTGCCTCCTGCTCCCTGTTTTTGGTGAGCCCTGCAGCAGCTCAGGTCCTGGGTCACCCAGAGGTGGGGACACATGGCCTCTTGTCACCTGAGGGGAGCAGCTCGTGGCCTCGGCAGCGCTGCTGGCCAGATGGGTGCTGGGTTTTCCTGGCTTTGCCCCGTGGCATTGCACCCACTGCTGTTGCTCACACCTTCTCCATCAGCACGTTGTTAATTAAATCCCACGTGGGCTCTTCCATGATGGGTGCCAGGCACGGGGCTCCCACCTGCCCACAGCCCTGCCCCACCTCTGGGCCATGCCCTGAGACAGCTCAGGGACAGGGGACAGGGTAGAGCACCGTTTGCCACCATCTGTGTGGCCATGCAGCCATGGCATGGAGCCAGGGACAGACCACGCTTGCCACAACCCCCCATCCCACCCGCAGCCCCCACCTCACCTTGAGCTCCACGCCATAGCCGGGGTAGACAGAAACAGTGTAGGTGCAGTCCAGGCTGCCATCATAGGGGACACCAGCTGGCTCTGGGGACACCAGCCAGCCCTCTGGGCCCCCCAGTGTCTGGTTGCAGGGGACTGGTGACAGAGGAGACCCCAGCTCAGCCCCACTTTTCCCCTGTTCCCCTCGACTCCCTCCCCAGCGCTCGCCTGGTCCCTGCAGTGTGGTGACAGTGGTGGTGGTGATGGTGGATGTGGTGGTGGTCCCCTCCTCATCCCTGGTGACTTCCGTGGCCACAGTATGAAGTCCTGGAGAAGTGCCAGGGGTGGTGGGTGCTGGGCTGGGGGATGTGGGGCTCGACTCTGGCAACCTGGCAGGGGACCATGAGGGGTCAGCACCTGGCACGGCCCCCCATGCCTCCCCCCATGGCCCTGGGTGCCCAGCTGGTGTGGTCAGAGGGTCTGTGGGGAAGGCAGCCCTGGGCAGGGGAGTGCGTGGTGGGGGTTCAGGGGCTGGAGGGCCAGGGGCTGGCTGGAGGACATCAGCAGGCAGGACAGGGCCGGGGCCACCGAGCAGGAAGGGTGCCTGGCCCAGGTAGTCCTTCTTCAGGAAGGCTTCGTGCAGCAGGTCCTCCAGCAGTGGGTGGTGGTTGAGGAGCTTTAACGTGGGCGCCGTGCTCACGAAACGAGCCTCTGCCTTCCGC